ATTTGGCTGTCGTCGCCACCGGTCCGAACCTCTCCTGGAAGACAGGCTTAGCATTCGCACAACAAAAACAAGAGCTGTTTTCCGCATGTGTTTTCCGGGTTCATTGCTCTTGACCGCGTCATGGAGCAAAGGTTCACGACGTGTCGGACATGCGAGTGTTTACCTAAGGTTCGTACTTTATGAAATGATATGGGTTGTGGAATCAACCGAGTTCTTAAGAACCTTCCTAGGCACAAGCACAACTTTTGGACGGTGGAAGTATGATGAAACTACTCGGCAGCCCAAGGAGTGGAGTAGCTGTTGCCCGGTAGTGAAGGCAGGGTGAAAAAGGAAGGAAGGAAGGAAGGTAGAGAGAAGGGTGTGATGTGAGGACGGGTCGAGGTGGGAAAGCGGCTGCTTCTTCTCTCCTGGTGGGAAGAGAATAGCCGAATAGGATTGTGGGAGGGAGCGAGGGAACAAGTCAAAGGCTGCGAACGCAACGCGACGGCGACCACCCCAGCGGGGCGACGACGACGGCGACGACCGCGACGGCAAAGGAAGCCCCAAAGAGCAGCGCTCCCACCCTCCTCCCCTCTCCTCGTCTCGCCTCTCCGTCCCATTCCCCCGCCCTCCACCCACCCAGCCAATCCCGCGCCACTGCTCCGCCCACTCCGGACGGACTCCATCGCCCAGCTCCACCTGCCTGCCGGACGCCGGCGACCGACGAGAGAGGCGCCATGGGGTGCGTGTTCTCGAGCCGGGAGAAGCGGGAGGGGTCGGCGCGGCCGCAGGGCCGCTCCGTCCAGCCGCAGCCGTACCACCAGCAGCAGCAGCAGCAGCAGGCGCTCGGGGCGGTCTTCGACGCGCGCCGGGGCCGCTACGGCCCCACCGACTTCGACTCCGGGGAGATCGCCATCCCGCCGCCGCACAAGCCCCACAAGGTACCCACCCGCCCGCTCTTCCGCCGCACCCCACCTGTTTGTGTTCGTGTGTTTCTTTCCCCTCGAGCCCGAGCCGTGCTCGCCGTCCGGCCGCCCATCTGCAGCAGTGCCCGCCGGCCGCGGCAGAGACCTCCGGTTTCGCGACGAGCCCTTCAATCGCCTCTCGTCAGGCAGAGCAGAGCAGAGAAGAGCAGGGTCGGCCGTGACAGAGTTTAAGAAACTGCAGCACGCGCTCCAATCTGCCCGGAACAGAGCATACGCCACAGGGAAGCCTGCCATGCCCACGCCCCGCCATGGCCAGTTGTTTCAGGCGAAGCTGCCGCGCAGGTCGGCCATGGCGCCGGGTGTCTGCACACAAGCTGTTCTGACGAACATTTGGATTGGGGAATCAATCAATCAATCAGTCAATCAGCGTGCTTTCGCCGGAGCAGGGGAACTGGTGGCACAGGAGGCAGAGTCCAAACGCAACGCCAGGTCAATCTTGGCGGCCATTGTTTTTTCACACACACACACCGGAGGCCTGGTCGCACACGGATGGATTCCTCTTCGTCAGATGAGCCGAGCTTTGCTTAATCTGCTGCATTCGGGTTGCTGTCAGCACATAGTATAAGTCTGCTCCTTGGACTGGTCAAGCCTGTGACCCGGACAGAAACTTCCATCTTTGCGGCTGCTGCTGCTGACCGCTTCTTCGATGCTATCCATGGAGCTTGAGACACTGGCATACTGCACTCTGATTTTCTCGCGAATCGCGGAACTTGCCGAGTTGACTTGCAGTCACTAGGAAGCACTGGATGGTGAAATCCGATAAAAAATGAAGCGATGCCGGCGTATGTTGCTGTCGAAATGATTTGGATAAGCAGTGAATGATATAGGACTGTCAAAACTCGAGCATCTGGTTAAAGGAGTTCAGCGCCGTCAGTCAGTCGTAGATGGCCATGTCTCCACTGTTCTGGTAGCATCTGTTCAGTAGCACAACTACTTTCATCTGGCCAGTGAGCATCAAGGATCATCTTCTGTAGCACAACTTCTTGTTTGGAAGGGGTTATGGAATAGCCTTAAAGCAGTAGCACGCGCTTCAGATTGGGAAAGATCACTGAAATAGCAACATGGTGTTAGTACCTCATAGTTTTGCAACCACATAAGCAGGTCCAGCATAGTCAGTTTGAGATATATAGAAGTCTTCCTCTGTTAGTTTCCTTATATACAAGCTAACACCTGTCATTGTTTCTTATAAAGGGGACAATATGGCTGTTGTTTCTCCCCTTTGCTCTGTGCTATAACTCTGTATATTTCCAATTTGTCGTTCATACCTGAGAGCTGAAAATACATCGTTAGCCTTTTCCCATTGCCTCTAACATACTATTCATACCAGGTATCAGAACCAGGCACATTCATAGGAAGAGCCAGCATCGCCGGCCTGGAAAAGGCCGTTGAGGTGTTAGACACCCTTGGCAGCGGCATCGCAAGTTTGAATCACGGCAGTGGGTTTCTCTACGGGGGAACCACCCGAGGAAATAAAGTCGAGATTCTGGCGTTCGAAGTCGCAAATACAATAGCTAAAGCCTCCAATTTGTGGAGGTCATGCTCTGACGATAATATAAGAGAACTCAAGGAAGAAATCTTGCATTCAGATGGCGTGCGGATATTAATCTCCTCAGATCCCAGCGAGCTCCTGCATATTGCTGCTATCGACAAGAGGTATGGTTAGTTTAAAAGTATTTTTTCATTTTATTTTTGAAATTATTCTTACTATAAACGTTATTGATGTGAACTTTAAATGGAACCTAACAGGGAAGAACTCGCCATCCTTTCAAGAGAAGTAATTCGATTTGGTGACCTGTGTAAAGACCCCATATGGCATAACTTGGGACGCTATTTTGAGAAGTATGCTTCTGAGAATTATGCATTTCATTTCGACATGTCATTATTTACCATCTTATCAGCACCTCTTATTCTGAACACTATGGGTTACTCTGCTGTGCAGATCAACGAAAGATTCCATGCCCCAGGATCATTCAAAAGAGCATATCGGAACTACCGTCCAGCATTTGATTAGCTTGGCTCAAAACACTTCTGTATGTTCTACTTGATTTCCACATTTATATACTTTGGGAGGTGCTTGCACTTGATAATAATTCTACCGTTTATGGAGCGTTTATCATAGCTATTGTATTTCTTGAAATTATTGAACCACTAAATAGCTACCATTTATGGCGTGCAGGAGCTTTACCATGAATTGCACGCGCTGGATAGGTTTGAGCAGGATTTTCAAAGGAAATTTCATGAAGAGGAGTCTGTACCAGCAGCCAGGCGAGGTACTGCCAGACTGATGACATTGTTCTTAAAGAACTTCAGTAGATGCTAAAACTGTACTGCGAGTTTGCCATTAAAGGGTATTTACTGTATTCAATTTTGTTCTTTGCAGAGAGCGTTATGATATTGCACAGTGAACTAAAGCGCCAAAGGAAGCTTGTGAAAACTTTGAAGAAGAAATCCTTGTGGTCCAGACCTTTGGAGGATGTAATTATCTTCATCCCCATTTACTTCATTACTTTATATCTTGGCCTTCTGTAATTCTGTCTGTTGGGTTATGCCTGGCAGTGTTCTTTTGCGACAGTTTTTGATTAATGCGCTACTCACGTATTGCCTTTTCGTTCTTTTGAAGGATGATAACAGTGTTTTGTGTTATTCTATATCCAGGTTGTGGAAAAGCTTGTTGATATCGTCACTTTTCTGGATAAACAAATCCGGGATGCATTCGGTGAAGCTGGTAACTAACTATCGATTGGCTGCTTTATTGTTCCCACAAAATGTATCTGACAATATCCTGACGCCTCTCTCTGAATAAACAGTTCCTGTAGGTACGGACTTCATGGAGCAAGGTCAGAGCAAAAGGCTAGGTGCCTGTGGTCTGGCACTACATTATGCTAACATCATCAACCAAATTGAAAATATAGTAAGTCAATTTGACGACTCACGCGGTGTTTATCATGCTTGCTTAGTGCACTACTTTCCTTAATGAAGTCAATTTCCATGGTGGCCTCTTATTTGTATAGGAAACTGTTTCCGTTTTGTTGATGAACCATGCATTTATTTATTTCCCTTTTCTTCCGGTGAGCAAAATATTCGATGGTAGTCTGTAATAAATATCAGTCTGTCTCCTAGCTGCAAAATACCAATTGGAAAGTCATTTTTGAAATAAAGAAGTTCATATATTGTCGGTATCACCCAAGTCTACATGCTTCAGTCTATACTCTTTAGCCTTCTATTTGCGATATGTCATTGATTAAGAAACATGAAAAGGCATAGGGTTCTCATTCTGTTGTCTACGTATGCAGGTTTCTCGGCCGCTCTCTCTTCCTCCTAGCGCTAGGGACAACTTGTACCATGGACTGCCAGAAACAGTCAAGTCAGCTCTGCGGCCACGGTTGCAATCAGTCAAACCTGAAGATGAGGAGGTTTGTCTTGCACAATTCTGAAGAATATTTTCTTACTTATATGTGCGCGTGGATCTGTAGTAGAAATTTAAAACCGGTGGATCAAGCTTAGCACTAGCAGAGTGCTGTTTTTTATGTGTGTGTCCATAGCCATGATTCAGTTCTAAGCACTGAAAGTTCAGTTGTCTGCATGGGGAGCGTAACTGCAACATATCCAAAGGAGCAAATATCCGAAGAAGCAGGCATTTTGAATGTCATAGAATGTGATAGGCATTTTGCTTATGTTTTCTTGACAAGAACTAAGGACCTGATTCTGTTGTTGCTAGTGTTGACGCATCGAAGCGTATTACTAACTGCGACCCCCCCTTTTTTTTTTAATTCTCTGCAGCGTTCTGTATCTCAAATCAAAGCTGAAATGCAGAAAACCCTCCGCTGGCTGCTGCCAATAGCAGAAAATACAACAAGGTACCCCGATCCTTCTGATTTCCGATGCTTATTCACAAACAAAATAAAAATCTGATTTAAACGATCAAGTTGTTTTCGTCCCTCTTTCCAAAACTCACGGTTTCTGTACTTTTACCAGAGCACACCAAGGGTTCGGATGGGTCGGCGAGTGGGCAAACTTCGGGTTAGTCCCCAGTCTCCACAAATATCATGACCACTGAATTTCATCGATAATATTGCTTATACACTCGTTTGCTAACATGGCCTGACTTGATGATGTAACAGGAGTGACATGGACGAGAAATCGGGCTCCCGGCACAGCGTGACCCGGGTGCAGACGCTGCACCACGCCGACAAGGCCAAGACGGAGGAGCACATGCTGGAGCTGGTGGTGCTGCTCCACCACCTGGTGCTCCAGGTGAAGAGCCGAGGCTACGGCCACAACAAGTCGACAAGGCGGGAACGGTCCCGGTCCCGCAAGGGAGGACCGTCGTCATCGTCAGAGCCGCCGCATCATGAAGCAGACGCCACCAGGCACAACACGTCGCCGATGAACAACGGCCATGGCAGCACGTGCCCTAGCCCGCTGTCGGACTCTGATCGCGAGACGCTGGACCACCTGAGCTTCAAGCGGACGACCAGCTACGGCCGGAGCAAGAGCTGCGAGCCCCGACCCGGCAAGGGGAACAAGGCGCACCGGAGCTGGAACTTGTGCCGGAGCCACGGCAGCTCGCCGGCGAGGGAGTTCGGCCGGGGCTCGACCTCCGGGCGTGAGATGGTGAGGGACCTGGATGTGATAGATGGGCTGGGTAGACTGACTCTTTCGTTTAGTTAGAGAGAGGGAGTGTGTGTGAGAGAGAGGAGAGGTTTGGTTTGCACAGGGTGAGAGTAGGTATTCTTTGGCTTTTGCCGCCTTCTTCTTCTTCTTCCGGCTCGTCGATCCGATCGTATATATCTTGTATATGTGTTTTCTATCATCATATATGTTTGGGTAGTTTCTGTAAATATATAGATTATATATATATAACGGCGTCACAGTTGTGGGTGATTTGAATGGAAATATAGCGGGGTCAGAAGCGATGTTCAGTCGCCTCACTCCATTTTTCTCTGAACCTGGGACAAGCCCCCTAATAACCTCTGAAACAACCTCCACCATCTAAGCAGGGCAGACTTAAAGGCCTGTTTGGTAATCACCCGCTCCGGGAATCTGCGGAGCGGGGAAGCCGCAACTCCTTTGATTTCGACAGCAGCTTCCCCAACTCCGCTCCCGGAGTTGCAGAGCGGAGGGGTACCGAACAGGGCGTAAGATAGAGGATAGCATCTGAAAGATTGCCCAAGAATTGATTAAAGAACAGGCTCAGTGAACAATTACAAAAGGGTCAAGTGCACTCCTGCGTTGAAAACAGATATCATTTCGACAGTTCCAAATAGACCATGTTACAGCTGAAATACCAACTGAAAGTAGCATCTTCTTATCTTTACTAAACTGTGCAAGCGAAGAAGAAAAGGAAGTTTTCAAATTATCATGAGGTACTCGCAAATTAAATGAACATTGCAATAAGCTCCACACAAACTTGGCAACTGACTGAGTAGTGTAGAAATAAGTGCTCAATAGTTTCATCACGACCACAAAAGATACAACACTTGTTACCATTCCATCCCCTCTTCAATATGTTTGGTTAGTTCATGTACATATCTTTATATATAACAGTGTTACAGTTCGTGATGATTTGAGTGGAAATATAGCAGGACCGGAGGTGATGCTCCATTGTCTCACTCCATTGCCATGCTCTAGTCTCTGCATGTGTCCCTGTGTGTGTATGCTGCACCATCTTTTTTGGTTCGGAAACAAAGGAATTTATGTTGGACGGTGATAGCAAATTGTCTTTCTAGAGATTTCAACAAATGACTACATACGGAGCAAAATGAGTGAATCTACACTCTAAAACATGTCTACATACATCCGTATGTTGTAATTCATTTGAGATGGCTAGAAAGACAATTATTTGGGAACGGAGGGAGTACTCGTGAAGTTGGACTACTATAGGCCGGTAAGCCATGTCGCCTTGCCTGATATATCCTTTTTTTTTTGAAATGGAACACTAGGATTCCATAGATCACACTGGTCCAGCTAAAATGCTGGCCAACTGGACGCTTACATCATTTGGAAGGTCCTCAGACCAAAGCTCCTGAACTACTTGGCGACTAGCACCAAACGCAGCTAAAGCATGCGCAAGATTATAAGGTGCGCAAACTCGATGTATGTTAACTTTGTGCCGTTAAATTCCGTCATAAAAGTACTTCAAAAAAAAATTCCGTCATAAAAAAAACTTGTGCCGTAAAAAACGTGTCGGTTTCACTCCTCTTTTTGTGCTTGTCGTCATGTGACGCAAAACCTCGTCCCACCAAGCTTCAAGCGTGTGGCCGTTGAAAGCCTCAGTAGGATGAATGAGGTCGTCAATTGAGGTGAAGGGGCAGACATCGGAGGTGAAGGGGCAATGCATATAGGTGAAGTGCAATCTCGAGATGCGCACATGCAAAGTTGGCACACAAGGTTGTGGGGGCCAACCTCGCCGTGCAAGACGGCCGGCGGTGAGGACTTTGGTGTGAAGGACAAGCCATGTGAACTGCAATCCGGTTCGGCATGGGCTTTTAATACATTTATTTTGTAGTATTTATCTTATTTTGAAGTTATATTTCACTTTATGATGCAATTTTAATGTGTTTTCTCTCTTAAATGCAAGATACATCCAAAGAGAGAGATTGCCAACAACTGAAATTCTGACCTGAAAAAACTACAACAGCGACAACAATTCTCCGGAGCTCAAAATGAAGTGAAAATTTATGAAGATTATTTTGAAATATATAAAAAAGCTGGAAGAAACAAGTACTAGAGAAGACCCTCGGTAGGCCCACAAGCCAGGGGACGCGCCCTATCCCTAGGGCGCGCCATGGTGGCTTGTGGGGCCCACAAAGGCTCACTGATGACAATTTTCTCCTATATGAAGCCTTTTACTCTAGAAAAAAAATCAAGAGAAGACTTTTGGAAACAGACACCGCCGTCACTGCTAGGAAAAGGCTAATTAGTGGTGCACCTGTTTTGGCCATTAATGGCGCACTACAGGTGCGCCACTATCATCACGCCACTAGTAACTAATACTAATGGCGCATCCTGATGCGCCATTAGTATACCAGACAATAGTGGCGCACCAGGAAGTGCACCATTAGTATGTCAAAGGGTGCGACATTACTATGCCTCCCAGGGGTCCATATTTACCTTGTGCTCTGGGTTACTAATGGCGCACATCTAACTAATGCGCCACTAATATGGTTACTGCAGTGCGCCACTAAAGTGCAGTGCGATGCGCCACTAGTATGAATATTAGGATTTTCTTTTCTTTTCTGATATTTGCACAGGTTACAAAATATATTACTGCACAGAATATAGACAGCATAACATATAAACAGTTGATTTATCGAATACGATAGAAGATTAGTCTCCGAATACAATTCATCATATTAGTCTCCGAATTCAAAATACCGAACAAAGTTAGAACATTACAAGTCTCGAGACCGTGAGTAGCGAGTTTGTCTTCACATTACAAGTCGATATCGATCATCTAAACTACCATCACATAGAAGAGAGTTGCGTTCATCATGATGAGCATCATCGCGATGAAACTGGTCTTCATTCGGTTCCTCCAACGCTCCCTCCTCTCTCCCGCTAGGTAGCGCGCGTATCTAGCTTCTACCTCCGCCCTAGTGGTGTACCCTTTGTAACTGTTACCGCTGAAATGGTGAACCTGTCTCCGACACTCCTCCCAGTCGTCATAGACTCCGGGAACCTTACCCTTGTACACGACATACGACGACATCTCTATGCACTAGCCAAACAAAATGTTAGTAGCAATTCACAGACAATACATAAGCAATATATAAGTATGGAACAAAAGAATCGGAAGATAAAAGCAACACATTAATAGCACAATTCATGGTCCTACTAATAAATAGCATCGATTACATATAAGTTGAACGACTGTCCAAACCAAAGAGACATACAAGTTCATTAAAGTATTACAACATGAGCTAATCGATATTTCATAACTACATAGCATCACTACTTTCGACTCGGCTCAGGGACCGGAACATGGATGAAGCCGCCGTCTTTCTTGATGGTCATGAAATCGCGGTCGTTGTCATCCTGCATTTGTAGCGTTGTTTCTATCTTACTGTTGGACGGTTGATATCTGAGGTAGAACTGCCCCGAGGTACGAAAGACATCTTGATGGATGATTTCCGCAAACTCCGACTGGATGCGAAAGAATTCTTGTCTGATGTCCGTGTCCTGGATTGCCGACAAGCGTGCGGCCCAATCTTTGAGATTATTTGGTAGCAGAAGGTGATTATGGTCCCGTATGATCGCCCACATGTGATGGAGGGCGTAGTAGGCATCCTTCTGACCGCCAGGCGGCTGCTTGATGCAGGGGAACGTCGTATTGTGGGTGAACACGTGCTGGCCGTACTTCTAATTGGCCCGCTGAAGGTGCCTCCAGATCTGGCGTAGCCGGGAAGAGCTTCATCAAGAACTTTCTTGATATTTGTGTAGTCTTTCTTCGACTGACGGTCCGAGTCGAAATACGTGGCCATGGAATATTTCGGGCTTAAGAGGATGAGTGTGCAATATGTGTCACTGCACAAAACATGAAATGTTAGGAAAAAAACGATCGAAATCTAAGAAATCATATGTTACGGGGCGGTGAGGGGATGACTTACTCGGGAAAGTAAGGCACGAGGAAGTTATCCTTATCTGGGTTTGCCAGAATGACGCCTTCGAGGTATGAACTCGCGACTTGCCAGTCCCCAGCGCTGCCCAAGATCTTGGCACACATTTACAAGGGGTCGACTATCACGATGTCCGGGGTCTTGTCTCTAATGATCCGCATATCCATACTCAGCGAAAATAGCCGAATGAAGGTGTAGTGCAGCGGATGAAGGTTAAACATAGCGAAGATGTCAGCAAACCGCAGGACGATCATACCCCTGATGGCGCTACCGACAAAGCCCTTGCCCATGAAAACCGGGTATGCCACATCATTCTCGGAGAGACGCCGCTTCTCCAAAGAAAGAACACTGTCATGCAGACTCCGCATAGCACCGGTTGCAGCATTGAGCAGATTAGTCGGTAGCATCGGCCTACCCGCCACATGCACCCTTGATACGTCTCCAATGTATCTATAATTTTTTATTGCTCCATGCTACTTTATCTACTGTTTTAGGCAATATTGGGCTTTATTATCAACTTTTATATTATTTTTGGGACTAACCTATTAACCGGAGGCCCAACCCAAATTTGCTGTTTTATGCCTATTTTAGTGTTTCGAGGAAAAGGAATATCAGACGGAGTCAAAACGGAACGAAATCAACTGGAGAAGTTATTTTTGGAAGGAAACCCACCTGATGGACTTGGACCCCATGTCAGAAGATACGGGAGGTGCTCACGAGGGTGGGGGGCGCGCCCACCCCCCTGGGCGGGCCCCCTGCCTCGTGGGGCCCCCATAGCTCCACCGACGTTCTCCTTTCACCCATATATACCGTCGTACCCTAAAACTTCCAGAACAGAAGATAGATCGGGAGTTCCGCCGCCGCAAGCCTCCAGAGACCCTGTTCCGGCACACTGCCAGAGGGGGAACCCATCACCGGTGGCCATCTTCATCATCCCGGCGCTATCCATGACGAGGAGGGAGTAGTTCACCCTCGGGGCTGAGGGTATGTACCAGTAGCTATGTGTTTGATCTCTCTCTCTCTCTCGTGTTCTCTCTCGTGTTCCTCTACAGC